GCTTCACCAGAACCTGGATTACTCAGGGATTCGCTTCACCAGAACCTGATTACTCAGGGATTCGCTTCACCAGAACCTGGATTACTCAGGGATTCGCTTCACCAGAACCTGGATTACTCAGGGATTCGCTTCACCACTTGGATTACTCAGGGATTCGCTTACTTGGATTACTCAGGGATTCGCTTCACCAGAACCTGGATTACTCAGGGGGTTCGCTTCACCATAACTTGGATTACTCAGGGATTCGCTTCACCAGAACTTGGATTACTCAGGGATTCGCTTCACCAGAACCTGGATTACTCAGGGATTCGCTTCACCATAACTTGGATTACTCGGGGATTCGCTTCACCATAACTTGGATTACTCAGGGATTCGCTTCACCATAACTTGGATTACTCAGGGATTCGCTTCACCAACCTGGATTACTCAGGGATTCGCTTCACCAGAACCTGGATTACTCAGGATTCGCTTCACCAGAACCTGGATTACTCAGGGATTCGCTTCACCAGAACCACTTCGCTTCACCAACTTGGATTACTCAGGGATTCGCTTCACCAGAACTTGGGGATTTCGCTTCACCAGAACCTGATTACTCAGGGATTCGCTTCACCAGAACTTGGATTACTCAGGGATTCGCTTCACCATAACTTGGATTACCCAGGGATTCGCTTCACCAGAACTTGGATTACTCAGGGATTCGCTTCACCAGAACCTGGATTACTCAGGGATTCGCTTCACCAGAACCTGGATTACTCAGGGGATTCGCTTCACCAGAACTTGGATTACTCAGGGATTCGCTTCACCAGAACTTGGATTACTCAGGGATTCGCTTCACCAGCTGGATTACTGGATTCGCTTCACCAGAACCTGGATTACTCAGGATTCGCTTCACCAGAAACTCTGGATTACTCAGGGATTCGCTTCACCAGAACCTGGATTACTCAGGGATTCGCTTCACCATAACTTGGATTACTCAGGGATTCGCTTCACCAGAACTGATTACTCAGGGATTCGCTTCACCAGAACCTGGATTACTCAGGGATTCGCTTCACCAGAACCTGGATTACTCAGGGATTCGCTTCACCAGAACCTGGATTACTCCGGGATTCGCTTCACCATAACTTGGATTACTCAGGGATTCGCTTCACCATAACTTGGATTACTCAGGGATTCGCTTCACCAGAACCTGGATTACTCAGGGATTCGCTTCACCAGAACCTGGATTACTCAGGACTCACCACCTGGATTACTCAGGATTCGCTTCACCAGAACCTGGATTACTCAGGGATTCGCTTCACCAGAACCTGGATTACTCAGGGATTCGCTTCACCAGAACTTGGATTACTCAGGGATTCGCTTCACCAGAACTTGGATTACTCAGGGATTCGCTTCACCATAACTTACTCAGGGATTCGGGCAGGGATTCGCTTCACCAGAACCTGGATTTACTCAGGGGTTCGCTTCACCATAACCTGATTACTCAGGACTTCACCATAACTTGGATTACTCAGGGATTCGCTTCACCAGAACCTAGATTACTCAGGGATTCGCTTCACCATAACTTGGATTACTCAGGGATTCGCTTCACCATAACTTGGATTACTCAGGGATTCGGATTACTCAGGGATTCGCTTCACCATAACTTGGATTACTCAGGGATTCGCTTCACCATAACTTGGATTACTCAGGGATTCGCTTCACCAGAACCTGGATTACTCAGGGATTCGCTTCACCATAACTTGGATTACTCAGGGATTCGCTCACCAAACTTGATTACTCAGGGATTCGCTTCACCATTAACTGGATTACTCAGGGATTCGCTTCACCATAACTTGGATTACTCAGGGATTCGCTTCACCAGAACCTGGATTACTCAGGATTCGCTTCACCATAACTTGGATTACTCAGGGATTCGCTTCACCAGAAGATTACTCTCGCTTCACCATAACTTGGATTACTCAGGGATTCGCTTCACCATAACATTACTCAGGGATTCGCTTCACCAGAACCTGGATTCAGGGATTCGCTTCACCATAACTTGGATTACTCAGGGATTCGCTTCACCAGAACCTGGATTACTCAGGGATTCGCTTCACCAGAACTTGGATTACCCAGGGATTCGCTTCACCAGAACCTGGATTACTCAGGGATTCGCTTCACCAGAACTTGGATTACTCAGGGATTCGCTTCACCAGAACTTGGATTACCCAGCTTCACCATAACTTAGATTACCCAGGGGGTTCGCTTCACCATAACTTAGATTACCCAGGGGGTCCGCTTCACCATAACTTGGATTACTCAGGGATTCGCTTCACCAGAACCTGGATTACTCAGGGATTCGCTTCACCATAACTTGGATTACTCAGGGATTCGCTTCACCAGAACCTGGATTACTCAGGGATTCGCTTCAACCATAAACTTGGATTACTCAGGGATTCGCTTCACCAGAACCTGGATTACTCAGGGATTCGCTTCACCAGAACTTGGATTACTCAGGGATTCGCTTTAACTTAGATTACCATTAACTTAGATTACCCAGGGGGGGGTTTTCACCCATTATCCGC